ATCATCAGTTCAATTCACCACCACCTATGCGGGTCCTTCATCAGTATCTCATGAGACCAGTCATGTTCATCAATCTAATCAAGCTAAACCACATAATCTACCATTTGGGATCCAGCTCTTAAACAAGCATCAATCAATCAAATCACTGCACCGGTTGATACAGTTGATGACCCGTCTTCTCCAGGTCCTTCCGTGTCCTCACCATCAATGGATTTTGACATCTGTGACTCCATGGGACTCCCGGAGTCTCCTCCTAACTGCTTACCCCCGCCTCTGATGTCGCCGATGTGAACCCTTCCTCTCCATCAGAGGACTTCACGTCGTATTCTCAACTAGTCCTATGTATCGCTAAAGTGATGGATCTCGATGTACCACAATCAGTACAGTCTGAGTCCGATAAGGTTTACGAGGACATTGATGAGGTTCAGTCCCCCCACTCCACATGGGGTTTATTCCATCTTTGCTCAAATTGATTAAACAATCTTGGGCTAAACCATCTTCTGTACCACAAATCTCCAGACGAGTTGAAAATTTATACAAGACTCATGGAGACAATACAGCTTTCTTGTCCAGGTATCCACCTCCGAACTCGGTCATAGTCGATGCAACTCAAAACAGGGCAAAGAATCAGTCTAACACCACACCGAATAATAAGGAAGGCAGGAAACTCGACATCATTGGACATCAGGTATACTCCCTAGGATCCTTCACATTATGCACTGCTAACTATCTTGGAACCATGGGTGCATACATTAGTTTCTTATGGAACAGAGCACTTCCTTCTCTTCAATTGGCTCAGGGCGAATATAAATCTAGATGTCTCACCTTTCATCAAGAGACGATGGCTGTCGCGCACCAGGAGCACATCACAGCAAGGACATAATAGAGGCTGCTTCGAAGCACATGACCACACCCGTAGCCCTTCAAAGACATGCTTGGCTCTGCTCAGCCCATATCGCTGATGATTCTCGCATGTGGATTGAGGATCTACCATTTGATGGAGTTGGTTTTTTCGACACCAGGACTGATGAGATCCTTGATAATCTCCAAAAAATGAGGAAATCTGCAAGATCTTACAATACTCAACCTTATTACAGGACTCAATGCTACCAATGGCGTCGCCCATATTCTTACCAGCAATACAGATCCTTTTCTGATAAACAGAGATACTTAATACAGGCTACATCCACTTCCCAGACTCACCATGCCACTCAGCGTCAACGTTCCCGCCAGTTCTTTTGTCGGCCTGACAAAAAACCAAAGCAAAATCTTTGACTTTCAAGTCACCCGGCCTCCCCCACTCCATGTACCACATCCTTATCAAATTCGCCTCGCCACCCATTTTTCATCCTGGGCTGCCATCACCACCAATAAGTGGGTCCTCACTATCATTGCCACCGGTTATGCCATAGAATTCGCTATCCTCCCACCTCCAAGAAGAGTACTCACCCTACAATCCCATGTTCTCAGTTTAGACGTTCAATCCCTTCTCTCAAAAGATGCTATTTCACCGGTCACCTCACCAGATGCCAACCTTGGGTTTTTCTCCAGATACGTCACGGTACCCAAGAGAGATGACAGTCTCCGCCCCATCCTCGACCTACGGAACCTAAATTATTACATCTTTCAGCAATGTTTCTGCATGGTTACTGTAGAACACATCATACCTCTTCTCCAGGGTGACGTTTGGTTCACTGTCATAGACCTAACCGACACCTATTTTCACATCAATATCCGCCAGGATTACAGAAAGTTTCTCAGATTCTCTCTGTCCTTGGTCTGTCTCTCCACATAGACCTATCAAGGTCTATCTCTCCACTATAGTAGCTCATCAGCCACATGACTCTGAAGCCTCTTCGCTCTTCTGTCACCCAACGATAAAACAATTTCTTAAAGGGTCTCCAATCTACAACCCACACCTCCCTCCGCAATGGTCACTACATACTGTTCTACGAAGCCTAATGGCATGGCCGGTAGCCTTCTTCCCTACAAAACCATCTCCCTTGTGGCCATTACTTCTGCTCGTAGAGCCTCAGAACTTGCTGCGCTTAGAGTCGACCCTCCTTTTCTTCAATTTTCCCCGGACAAGGTCACTTTTTATCCCGATGTTTCTTTTCTTCCAAAGGTTGTTTCTGAGTTCCACTTTAAGCAACCCGTCATTTTACCTACCTTTTTTCCATGGCCTGTTACTGACTTCGAGCGTTGGACGTTAGGCGAGCATTGGCCTAACCTCTTGGACGTTAGGCGAGCATTGGCCTTCTATCTTTCAAGGACTGCCTCTTTCCACAAATCCAAGAGACTTTTTGTTTCTCCGCACTTACCAGACAGAGGATGCCTTATCTCTTCCCAAACCATCTCTAAGTGGCTTGTATCAACCATTCACCTGGCATATCAAGAAGCCTCTTCCAGTTGGAATTAAGGTTTATTCTATGAGGGCAGTGGCTACTTTTGCAGCATTCCTCAGAGGTGTTTCTGTCCCTGGTATCTGCAGGGCTGCTACGTGGTCCACGCTGTCCACCTTTGCCTCTCATTACCACTTGGACCTTCGGGCTAAGTTGGATGCTGCATTTGGACGAGCAGTCCTGTTGTCTGTTCTGTGACATCTCTCCTCCGGTCAGGTAAGCTTGTTAATCACCCATTAGTGTGCATTCACAGAGACCATGAAGAAGAAAGAGAGGTTCCTTACCTGTAACTTTGGTTCTCATAGTTCATCTGTGAATCCACAATTCCTGCCCGTCCTCCCCTCTGTCCATCACATCTGTTTCATTTTATTCAGTGGTAGGCAGTTTGGGAACTGAGGCACTAGCTAGGACGGGCGGGCCCTGTGCACTAGGGGGGTGGTCCGGGCGAACAAGTGTTAAGCTCTAGAAGATTCTGGAAACCTCTGCGCAAGCGCTTTAACCCATTAGTGTAAATTCACAGATGTCCACCCAAAGAACCAGAGTTACAGGTAAGTAACCTCTCTTTTTTGGTTAAAACTTGTATCTTTTATATAATACCAGTCAATGTTTTTATAATTTTGACTGTGCCTGGTGTTTTGGAATAATAACAATGATGATGATGCACAGATTGATTATAAAATTAGACATGATAGAGTGGCAAAATTAGTGCACTGGTAATTATGCAAAAATCATAACTTGCCAGTCTGCAGAAACCCATGGGAATATCTGGTAGAGAAGGTATTAGAAAATGAGGAAGTTAAGATCTTAGGGGATTTCCAGACTGACAGACACTTTGAACATAACACACCAGACATAGTAGTAACAGAATGAAGAAATGTCTGGATCACTGACATTACAATTCCAGGGGATGCCAGAGTTGAAAATAAAGAATTGGAAAAACTAACAAAGTAGAGAGACCTGACAATCGAAATCTCTTACTTGCGGGTGAAACACACTACAGTGGTCCACGTAGTCTTTGGGGCTTTGGGAACAACATCAAGAAATTTCACACAGTACTATAAGCAGTTGCAGATCTCAGAAAACATACTATCAGAGCTACAAAATGGCAATATTAGGAACAGCATACATACTGCATCGATATTTAACAGATACTTAGGTTTTTGGTAAAAAATTGTATCTGTTATATAATGCCAGTTTTGATTGACTGTGCCTGTTGTTTTTAAACAACAACATCAATGACACCGATAATAATAATAATAATTTTTCACAACCAATTTTTGCTTGTTTTTAATGGAGACGGTAGGTTAGGAGAGCAAAGTTTTACACAAACAAGCAAGGGAAATTAAGATTTCGTTCTACATTTATTTTTTTAAATTAATTCATTCTTTTCATTTTAACTGCAAAAGATCATGACATTTCTTCAAGCCTTCACAGAGCCCCTGTGAGGACATTGCGGCTCCTCACAGGGGCTTCAGGGGTCCATGGACCACAGGTTAAGAACCTAGGGTCTACTCTGTCCTAAGTTTTGGGCAGTTTTCTGGCTTATGACCAAGGCCATGCAGAGCTGGAGCAAGATGACAACTGTAACACAGTAGCTTGTGCTCTGCACATGGAAGGTTGCAAGTTGATTCCCCAGTATCTTTGGCTAGGAGGATCAGAGAGCAGGTAATGAGAAAGGCCAAGGAGAGCTTTTGCCATTCACGGAAGACAATCCTGGACTCAGGAGACTAAGACGATGGGTTATATCTTTAGGACATTGCTTGCTCTTAGGCTGAAATACCCAAAGAGCCATAACTACCCAATGTAAATTTTACATGCAGAATTACACTGAAAAAAAAATATGTCAAGCATTGTACTTCCTTTGTGAAATACCTTGTGGCCACAAGTTCCAGTCTCCTAGAGTAAACATGGTGCTGAGGGACAGAAGACATATTTTGGCATGCAGAAGGCCCCAGATCTGATTCCTGGCATCATCAGGAAGGGCTGGAAAAAACTCCAATCCAGACCCTGAAGAGTAACTGCTGATCTTGTAACGATGTAGTATAAGGCAGCTTCCTATGTTTCTAATTTGACCTCACTATCCCAAGCACAACTTCAGATACATCTCCATAACATTGGGCTACCAAAGTACATTCTAGGAAAATGTAACCATTAATACATTTCAGACCCTCCATCCCTGCTCTTTCCCCAGGCTCAGTGAGAATGGGGCTTTCCAGAGATAAGTAGGGCTTGGAGACCATGAATGGCCCAAGGTCAAGAAGTGAGCTTCATGGCTGTCTGGTAGCTGATGTCTCCTGGTAACCTGTGGCTTTCCAGATCATATTTATTTTTCAGATTCCTACTCTCCTTTCCACATACTGACCATGCTAGCTAAGAGTTGCAATAGAACAACATGGAGAGCATCAAAAGCTTCTGTTTTTGATCTACAGCTTCTAGAACCCTTCTCACTCCTGGCCATAGTAGGCACTGGCCTTATCAACATGTGAAAGGCCACAGCCTTCTCATCCTTGCTGTAACCACAATCTCTTGGGTAGAAAAGAAACCAGGATTTTAATTGTGTGATTGAGGTCAAATATCTTATTTTTAATTTGCTCATAGTGGGAACCAAGATGGAAGATTCTGCACAGCCCACACCAGTACGCTCCAGACTTTCTATCATGGAAATATTGCAGAAGACAGAAGTTGCAGCAGAAGTCAAGGAGGACCAGCCATGTTGTTTGTTTGAACCCTCCCTTTAGAGCCTCTCTATGTTATTTGGCTCTGCAGTCCTAGGTTTAAATCCAGTCCCCTGTCCCAACTAGACATCCCAATGGATAGACCCACTGAATCAATTAAACTTATTTAATTCCAGTTGATTCAGCAGGTGTGCCCTCCTTGGGATCGTCCACTGGATTCAACCTATATTCTTTTCATGCTACTTCTTGTTGGCCGGGCAGCGCAGCTGTGCCACCATATCAGGCATACTTGCCCACTGGGAGATTTTTATTTTGCTATTTTGGAGATGCTCTAAAACGACCTTTTCCACTTTTCAAGGAAGAATGCTGCAATCCACGCGTACTCTGCAATCCTGGCATTTAACTTGATTTTGGTCCCATCGCTGTCAAGATGATAAGTGTTTTTGGTTAAACCGGGAGCTGTAATGCAGGTGGCAGCTGACATTCTGATTGAGCTAATGGCACTGGAAAAGTCAGGATAAGGTGGATTCAGGGAGGCCGGGGGTCCATCCATTCACATCAGCAATTTTGTAAGTGAAAAGCCCAGTTACATCAGGGTGGCAGCTTCTGTCCCACATTCACTTCATAAATAAAGGAGACCCTAATAATAACAAGCGATGGCAGGATGCTGTTCCCAGCCAGAGCCAACATTGTTTCCAGACCTTTTCCCCTACTATGTTGGCCTTCCAGAGGTTTTGGGCAGCCCCTCCCCATCCCTTACTGTTCGCTCAGTTGCCTGAGGCAGGAGGGCTCAAACATCTGAAAGGCTTAAGGGGTTCGGCACAACAGTTATTTTATTTTATCTTTTTTTATATGAATGAAAAAGCTCAAAAAACAATGCCAGGCGTGGTTGGGAACAGCCCTCTAGTTATATGGTCATTATTACTTTTATCATTAGGATCCTTTATCTAACAAATGTACTGGTTAACAAAGCAGATGTGTCCTGGAAAACTTTCTTGTCATGGAATTGAATCAGGGATGGGGATTTTTTTTGCTCTCCAGATGTTGGACTGCCAACAGTTCTTAAGACCAGCTGTAGTAACTGAGGCACATGGGAGCTGTAGTCCAACAGAATCTGGAGAGCCCATTTCCTCCAGTCCCAACTAAAGTAGATGTTCAAGCAGATGCGCTGAGATTTCAGTTGACTTTTTCATATTGCAGTTGGATTGTAAAAGTACACACCATCGTATTTCACAACCGTTTAAAAATACACACGGCTAAAGTTGACTTCCCCCACCTTCTGATGCTGTTCTGGTAAGATGAGCAAATGAAAGTATCAGAAATCCCAAGGGAATGAGGGCTGGAGCTCACCGCAGTTGGGCTTTAGTGAAGTGTGCGTGGCATCTTTTCCAAATGTTAAAAACACATCTTGACTCCCAAAGCCAAAACAACGCTCACCGCAGTTGGGCTTTAGTGAAGTGTGCGTGGCATCTTTTCCAAATGTTAAAAACACATCTTGACTCCCAAAACCAAAAGGGCCACAACATTGTAAGTAAATAGTAAAGCCTTTATTTCATTTTTGTTTTGTTAAGAACAACATTTTGAAAATAAAATGTCTTTTTTTTTGCCCATGCTTTACAACTTTTTTTGTTTTTTGTTTTTAATGTCATATTTATGTACAGTTCTTATGATACAGATTGATTGTCTTGAAACCCCTCCCCCAAATGTACAAGATTAAACAGTATGCAAAGGTCAGCAGGATGGGAAAGGGGGCACATTATAAAAACACACATTAATACATTTAATAAATATATGTTATCCCAAAAAAATGAGACTTGGTTTCTCATCAGTTAATAAAAAGCACCTGCTATGTAATCTGGTAAAATAGTGGACTAGTTCAGTCAGTTCTCTTGCCAAATAAAAGCTACATATGCTTCCAGTTTTATTGCCTTCTGTTAGAACTGTGGCCTCGAGGGCTTTGATAACCAAGCAGGATTACAGCCTCGTCAGTGCGGCTACATCTAGAATTTAAATACACCCCAGTTCTCTGGGCCCCGTCCTAGCAGGTAGTTTGATCCATCTGGGAGACACAGTATCATTCTAGCGACATGGACATCTGGACTCCTTAAAACATAACCCACAATCTTGCAAGAGAGATAGATGGTAATGTGGACCTGGATAATTCCTACAAAGAGTGCACAAAAGGGCCATTGCCAAGAGAACCTTCCGTCCATATGGTGCACTTGTTCAGCACACACACACACAAATGACTGGAAGGTGACACTGTGAGCCACTGGCATACATGTAAGGGCAAATGGCTTCAAGTCCAACCATTTCACAGTGCTCTGACTGGGCCACCATGTTTTCCTACAACTTCCTGTACACCCAAGAAGATTCAGTCTGTTGAGGCCAATGGGCATACATACGTTCACAGGAAATTAAGAATACCTGACATGCTGAGATTAACAGGACTTTTCAACATGTTGCAGCTTTTTCTGGAATGTGCCTGTTGGGTCCAGTTTTGTTACAGTTCCTGGTCTCCTGGCTTCAAGTAGACTCATGTTGCAATTAATCTGTGGGCGCATTCCTCCAAGCAGTGCTTTTAAAGCAAGCTTGACTGAGGAGACAACACAACTTTACCTCATTGTAGCACTTGTTGGATTTTGGGACCACCTCTGGATCTTTTTTATACCTCCTCCAATTAGATGAATTCAAAAAAAGTTTGGTTTGATATACTAAGGTGCCTTAAGATGATGATCCACTTCTTGGACCCAAAGTTGTAGTTGGGCGTGCAACTCCCAGAAGCCCCCGCCAGCCTGGTCAGAGGCAGAGAATTATGGGAGTGTAGTCCAAGAACATCTGTGAAGGCACAGGCTGGGAACCAATGCTTTCAAATATGGGGCCTTTTCTTTCTTTTCTACTCAAGGGTTAGTTGGCAACAGTGAAGGGTATCTGTAGTAGCATTTACACTTCTTAGCGTGATACAAAGCGAAACTAAATTCCCACAGAGTTGTGCTTAACTGTTGTGGAGTTAATGTTGTTCACCAGATGCTCTACATTCGTCATCATTTTCATCAGAAGGCAAAAAAATATATAAACAACTCCTGTTACATCAACAACAAAATAATAATAATATATAACTTAACACAAATGCACTTTGAAAGAAATGTCCAACAACACTTTGCTTAGGGGAGTGGTGTCATCACAAACAGACCGAGCAAAAATTGTGAATTCATTTGAAAAAATAAATTGCTGGAAAAATTAATCAATCCCTTTTTATAGTTTAATCTGCGTGCCTCCCACCACTACGAAGCATGGAATAAGTTCACATGAGTGGTTAAGGGAAGTCCTGTGTTTGCAGGATCCAGCCCTGTCTTTAAGATCCCAAACTGCCAGTGACTTATTTGGGAGCAGAATTGTTAAATCCCTTCCTGTCTAAAAGAAGAAAAAAATTGAACATCTCAATACACTTCTGACAGCAGTTGTCTTTCCTTTGTCTTTAAACTCACCCCAATTAAAAAAACACACACAATTTTCCCGCTCTCTGAAAAATAGGATCAAAATTCAGCAAGGAGTTGAAAGTGTTTCGTGCCATTTATGCCATGTTCATCTTATGCTTTTTTATAATGGAATTTCAGAAAACCTTTTGCAAACACAGTTTTAACTTCAAAACAAAAATAATGTTTATAGCTGCATGCTCATACAGGAAAGCACCAACTAAGATTTTGCGTATTTCTAAAATGGTACATTTCCTGGAGACACCCAACTTGTCTGATTATTTTTTTAAAAATTACATAATTATATTTTATTCCAGACCTTATTATAAATAGTGGTTTCTAAAATACTGGACAGCAAGCAACACCTACTCCACCCCCCCTAAAAGAACATTAACCTTTCTCATATGTTTATGTTAAATTAATGTTTATAAAACTTCTGAATGCAGTTCTTATCTCTTGATCATCTCAGAAGAAAACAACTATATTCATTCCATCATGTGGCTAGGAAAACTCAAGTACTTAATCGCTTAAATGACCATGGCAGTAACAGCAATGTGCCCTCCCACCCACAAAAAAGGAGGAGGGAAAAAAAAGAATATTTGAAATTGCAATAGGTTCAGCCTGATCTTATGTCAGTGTCATATTGAGACTACTCGTGTAAATAAGGACTTAGTTCTCATTGATATGGGGTTAACATTGTGTCTGGGCTGCACTATTTCTGGGCTGCTTGGCGTGGGGATCATCTTGATGACATTTATTTTGGGACATTTCTGTCCCTACTACTGCAGTCCAGCCGGAACCATCAAGGTGGCTTACGAGTTTTTTAAAAAAAATCAATGTAGAAGAGCTAGGGCAAAATGGCGAGGCTGTACAACTGGATCATGAACACCACAGTGGAGCAGCAGCACACAGGTCAAAGGCTTTCCACTCATGGCAAGGGACAGGGAGAAGACGCTGGCAGAAGACCAGACCTGAAGGGCTCACGAGGCCAGCCGTGCAGGGCAAGGATGTCTATTGCACATCCACATCCACAAAGAAGGGACTTTTCTCCTTATTCCCATTATCCGAATGCAGTGACACGAGGCCAGGCCTCTCCACGTGACGGTAGGAAATGGAGAAGGGGGCCTCTCAAACATCCTAGCCTTCATACATTCAGGATTTTAATGCTCCAGGATTTGGCCCCAGAAAAAGAGAGAGTTGCCCGAGGCTAGGCAGCTTTGAGAAAGCTATATTTTTGGATTAAAAATTCCACAAAATACCAACCAGGGGCCATTCTGGGCAGGAGGTTGTTGTACTAGAAGTCCAAAGAAGGTACATTTCCAAATTCTGATGAACGGCTGGATAGCTCAGTGGTTTATGTAACTGGCTACAGAGCCAGAGGTTGGGGTTTGGACTCCCCACGGTGCTTCCTTGACAAAGGCTGGACTCGATGATCCCTTAGGGTCCCTTCCAGCTCTGCAGTTCTGTTATTGCATTGAGCCCCCTAGCAAATCATTGGCTTCTCCAAGGAGTGACAACTTTCTGGGGACTTAGGCAGAAGCCTTTCCCGTCCCTGGTGGCTAAGATCTTCTAAAATGGAAATCCCAGAGGTTGAACGCGGCTGCTTTGTGCACTGAGCTATGGCTCCTTTCCATTAGACATCAGAAACCTCATCCAGCTGGCACAAGAGTGCACTCACATGCTCCCAAAAACTGGATTAAGGGACTACTTTGAAACAGAAGGAAGTTTTAAAACAATCTTCAAGAGCAGCATCCCCCTGTACAGTACTTTATAATAGTCCAGCCTTGATGTAACAAAAATATTACACATTCATGGCTAGATCCTCTTTGTCAAAGAAATGTGCTACTGGTGCACACAATGAAGACAGGACTGCATACCTCCCCCATCTGCTGAAGGATACTGCACGGTGGAATGCTTCAACATGGGAAAGGCAAAATGAAAACCAGCATCTGCTGAAGGGATGCTGCAAGGTGGAATGCTTCAACATGGGAAAGGCAAAATGAAAATGAACATGAGGCTGGCATGTCAAACCCTTCTATCTGATGTTCTGTGTGCAAGGAATATGTGACACATGCATTTATTGTGGAAAAGCCCTCAATCAAGTGGACCCCCCCCCCAAGCTGCCCTTCATAGTAGTAGCAATGCCCAGATACAATGGTTAGAATACATCAGTGAGAACTAAGGCAAAACCTACAAGATCAAGTACAAGAAGAAAAAATAGAAACATTTCCCAAAACACAACCAGTTGTCTTTCCCCTGCAGGATACAGTGGGTTATCCTACAAAGCTGCCAATTTACTTGTATATTATACTTCTTTATTCAACATTTGAAAATAGAATATATTTATTAGAACAGATGCAAAAGAATTTCATCCATCTACATACTTTGTAACCTTCATGTAATGTCATATTTATATTTATATATATTATATTTTTTCTAAAAAAACACAAGCAAACCTCAATTGCATTTAGTCTCTAGGAAAGCAGAGAGCGATGCTGGCCAGCAAAATGGATGCAGAGCTTAGTGATGTTACTTCTGGGGGTTCCTTAAAGTCCCCCAGCCGTAGACCCCCCCCAAAAAACAACATTCCTGAGCTCTGAGCGGGATGTCGATGACGGCTTGCATGCCCGACGTGTATTTAAATGCTGAACGATGAAGGAATGCGTTGCCGAACTTTGTTAAAATCATAGAAATATGAAAAGGCAGCAGGACCATGGGAGTCTCTAAGGAAAAAGAAAAAGCTTTCCCAATACCCATGTGAAAATAATCCCATTTTTAAAAAAGGTTCCATAAAAGGATGCACCAGAAAATGCAATAAAATGCGCAGATCATTGCAGTCAGTGAGGCTTCAGTGTCCAACTGGGGTGGGGCCATGCGGGTGGGGATCTGTTGTTATAAGTCAAGAGGCACCTGAACATTTTCTCATTTTCAAGGAACATCTTATCACTGCAATCCACAGGAGCTGGGTGAGGAGGAACTCAGTTCTGTGAAAGATACAGGAGGTTTCCTTTCATGCAAGGTCATGGGACCAGAGGTAGCCCACGCGTGTCTTTTTTTTTTCCATGGCTCTGAGCTCAGCTGCATTTTTCTGCATTCTCTTCCTGCCCCCAAACTGCAGCGCAATTCAACAGGAAGCCCCTTCTCAAGTGTAGCTCCAACACGGCCACAGGCCGTAAGAGAGGCAGAACAAAACCTGCCCCACCCTTCCACATAGAGTTGGCTGTGCAACTTTCCTACTTTGCTTTCTGGACAAAAAGGAAACTGGCCAGCAACCTTGATAAAGATGCAGACCGCCCCTATGGCTATTTTACCGCTGTTTAAAAGAAGGCAGTGTTGTAGATCAGCCAACTTCAAGCATCGGATGAGGATTTTGCCAACACACCCTTGTCTTCAATCCCCAAAGTTCACCTTAGAAACTCAGTTAGTCTATAGGATATGAAAACAAAACCATGGGCTCTTTTGCTTGATCTAAAAGTATTCCAAGGGCCCCATGGGGAAGAATAAGGCTTATCCTAAGATGATTCTTGGGAGTGACATGGCGGGGGCCTTTCTTCCTTGTGACCTTTTCTGCTCCCAAAAATGGCTTGATGAAGTCACAAGACTAGTTTTCCCGGGTGGGGCTTGAATGGGGCAATCCCTTGTGACAACACAGATTCAGAACATTTATTTCCGTTTTAATTCTTCCCAAACCAATTGGTGGCCAAATCAAGTCCACATTTGCCTAGCACATGTTGATTCCAGTCATTCTGGGAGGCCATGTCCCTCCCCCACGTCTCCTCCTCCTCCTTTTTTTTTAAAAAAAGAGTGTGCCTACAGCTATTTTTAAATTTAGTTTCAGCTTATGTTTCACTGGAGAGGTTTGCTTTTGTGGTTAGCTTATCAATTCAATAGTGCTCACATTTAATTTTTTTTTTTTTAAAAGAAAATCTATTAGATCCAGGACTTCACATGTTCCCAAGTGGGGACTCTGCAATCCTGGTGTTCTTTTGCTAGCATCATTTGCTCCTCCCCACAGAAAAAGACACACTCCCAGGGAATAACATCTGTTAATGGAGTCTCTCAGTCTCTCCCTCTTTTCCTATAAGCCTTTTCACCATAGGTGTCTTCCAGTGTAACTTGGTGGAGCGGTTGGAATCTGGAAATAAGGATAAGGATATCCACATAACTAAGCATTCTGGACTGTTAAGAAATTGCTGTTTTAAAGAAAGGCTACATTGCACGTACACACGCCCCAATGAACACCGTGATCAAATAGACAATATAGGGCTGCACAGCACACTAGTTCTCAAAGAGGCAGCCAGACTGTTCTGAGCTGTTCCACTTCAGATATATATATGAATTACACTAGTTCTCAAAGAGGCAGCCAGACTGTGTTCTGAGCTGTTCCACTTCAGATTGCAGGCAAAGTCTTACATGATTGAATGCTACTCCATTAATAAACACACAAATATATATATGAATTGCCTCTGATAAAGCAGTCAAATCATGCCAAGCAATCAGCTGTACTTTAGAAGTGGTATAACCCGGACATAAGTTGACTGCCTCAGTAAGAATGAGTCCCGAGTATGTGCAGCTAAAGATTCACACACACATACATGCACACACACAAATGTGGCTTCATCATGTGGCTGATCAATCTTGCAATGGAAAAACTAGTATTCCCTTTAATAGGTGGGGAATGCTGGTCCCTCCGGAGGTTCTAGCCCACAGCTCCTGGATCATCTCAGCTAGCTTGGCCAAAGAAAGCTGGTTGTAGACTGAAACTCCTGGATTCTCCAGCAGTTGTCCAAGCCCACCCTTGAATTCCGCCTACTGGTTTGGAAAGCTCCACTCCAGTTGCTGAAACAAGTGGCCCAGTCAAGTGTGGATGCTTGCAGTGTCTTGCACCTCTTTGCAAGGTGAACTTGTGGCCTCTCAGTGTGGAGCTACTTCTCCCATCACCATTAGCCAGGCTGGCACTGTCTGATGGGCCTTCCCAACAACAACTAAGAGAGCATAAATCCCCACCCACCCCCATCTATGGGGATGGAAGTCATGGAAAGGCGGTAAGTAGAAGGGTTACAAAAAAGGCTCAAGAGTAGGGTTGCCAGGCCAGCAGCATCCCATAGGGCAGTGGTCTCCAACCTTGGGCCTCCAGATGTTCTTGGACTTCAACTCCCAGAAATCCTGGCCAATCAAGGTGGTGGTGAAGGCTTCTGGGAGTGGTAGTCCAAGAACATCTGGAGGCCCAAGGTTGGGGACCACTGCCATAGGGGAAATGCTTCTAAGCCGAGTGGCCATAGAAGGAATCTGGGTAATTGCAGCCAAAACCAAGGTTAAAATCTAGAACGATTGTAATATGGCAGTACAGCCAGGGGAAAGAAAGCTGGCTACAGGAGTTGCCATCACACCTGTGTTCAGCCACTCACACCTGGTTCCAGCCAGGAATGGAAGGAGGAAGGGTTTTTTTTGGCTTAAGGCCACATCAAATTATCAAACTGCCCCCCTCCTCTTCCTGAGATCTCTCACCTAGAAGGAAACCGGAAAAACAGAGCAATTGCCCGAGATCTCAGCCAGGGCCCTAAGACCTGGCAACCCTGATTCAAGGCTGAATTTACACTGTAGAGTACTAGCAATCTGACCAGTATTTCTCTTGTCACGGCTCCATCCCACAGTATCCTAGGATGTTTTCCTTTGAAGAGATATCGGACGTTCTGCACTCCAATGCATTAAAGTGCAAGCAAGCTCTCTAAGCCGAGAATTCTCACCAACTATGAATCCCAAGATTCCAAGGGGATGAAGCCATGAGACGAAAAGCAGCATCAAATAGTTTTAACCATGTGGCATGCAGCGTTTCAGATCCTGGGACTAAAAAACCAGGTTGCAGAGGCCAGTATAATCGACTAAACAGTAGCATCCAAGGTGGGGGGGGGTCAGGGGCCTGCAGGGCACAGGGCTTATTTCAGCTCAGGAGGGTATTAGCTCAGAGCGGCATTAGCCACGGCCAGGCTTCTGAGCTCTTCTCCAAGTGGGTTAACACAAGAGAGGCTCTAGCTTGTGGTGGCAATGATTGCCACAACAACACCTCCCACCTGGAAGAGACACCCCCCCCTTCTATGAGAGTGCCCATGATTTGTACTTTAGGGAAAGGAAGGGGAGAAAATGGGGAGGGGTCAGGAATTATAAAAATGTTGGCTGCCTTATAGATTCCGCAGGTGACCTTCAAAATAAAAGAAAACAACGCAAGCCCAACTTCACATGGAGAAGAAGCTGACCCACAAGCACCAACGGATGTATGCATGGACATTCATGTGGAAGATGGACCAGAGAACAACCAGAAGCGCAAAGTAGATACAGCTAAATGGACACAATGCAAATGAGATTTAAGAAGCCTGTTTGGCTTTTAGAGCTGTTTCCCTAAGCTGTTCTGGGCCCTGCCCTGGGCTGCAGAGTTAACAGGACTGTACTCCATACATCCACATTTTAGGCACACCTCGGTCTACATTTCGGTTGGGAAGCAACACATTTCTACCAATGCCCAGAGTTCAGCAAAGATAAGAAGAGGGACACCGGGCCCCCAGCTTTGTTCAGAAACCATGGGTGATGTACGGTGTCAGCAACCGAGAGGGCTTTTTGTAGGGACTGTATGGCTTTAAAAAGAAACAATCCAGAAAGAAATAATCCAAATGTTTAACATGCCTTTGTCTTTTCACCGGATTGCCTTTAGCACTGGACTTTGCAGTATAGTTCATTTTAAAGAGAAATAAAGCCCATTGTTTTGGAGAAATCCCCCCAAAGCAATTAAACAGCAAAACAACCATGTCCATAAAACTGGGAGCTGAGTCATCTTAAGGAGCATCACATGCAGATTTACTGAAAGGTCTCCCCCCCTTCCCAACCCCCCCAACCCTCTCCCATATATTCAAGCATCCAATGGCATCAAGTTCTGAGTTAGTTGAAAGCAGAGGCTGGACATTCACCCTAAAAGGCAGCTTCTTCGAGCATCAAAGTTTGATACTTACAGTCCCACCATTCAAGACCACGGCCATCTCGGTGGGCTGGTAGACGTTGCTTCTAAACGGGGCGCTTGGACGGCTCCCCAAGCTGCCGTTGCGAAATCCTGCAGTCCGTAAAGCTGCGTGTCGCCGTACAGTCGTCGGGGAGGGAGAAGGAGAACAGAGAATAGGGGAGAAAAGAACGTTTGCTTTCTGCCCAACATAATTCTGAAATACAACAAACAAACAGATCCCACAACCAAGATCAAAGCTTGGATACTTTCTTTTCTTGGATTAGATCTCCCAGAAACCACCAGCCAGCATCTGTCTGCCAAAAGGGAACTCATCCTTCAGTGGACTAAAAGGGGTGTGATGCTGCTGTTCAAATTCTCCCTTTGCTTGATGGAACGAACGGCTATCGCCATTCGCTAAGCTGCCCCAGTGAAGTCTAGCCCCAAAAGTAACTTCCAGCTGTGAACTTTGTGACATCAAGAAGGCCTCTTGTCCTTTTCCCAGTTGGTCCCTGACTATGTACGGTAGCATTCTGTTTTTTTAAAAAAAGGACACAAAGAAGGACCAACACTGACCTATAGGGAAAAGTCAGATTCCTAAACTGTATAAACAGTTCATAAAACAGCAATTAAAACAGTTCAGCTTTTTTTTTTTTTTTTTAAGGGCACAAAGACCTCATGTCACAGAAGGACCAACACTGACCTGTAGGGAAAAGTCAGATTCCTAAACGTTATAAGCAGTTCATAAAAAAGCAATTAAAACAGTTCAACGCAGTTCAAAACGATGACAGCATTCAGACAAAATACCAAGCCAGATTTTGTTTTGGCATTTTCTAATCTGGGACCGGACAGACATCCTGGGCTCCAGTTCCCGAACAGCCCCGGCCGAATGCCACCTGGGGCTGCTGAGAGTAGAAATCAAGCATATTATCATCAGCTTCAAACACTCCCATTTGCTTCTCCTGCCCAACTGGGAAGAGGAAAAGGTATTGGTTTTGGCTTCAGCTGATTCCTGGCTTCCCATTACGTATGAACCCAGATTTTTTAATTCTGCTTTGTTGAAAAGATCAGCAGCATCAACATGGAATACGTAGCTGGCTCGTTTAACAACTGAGTAGAGTTTATCTTAAACCACAAAATCTTGTATGGAACCCCCTTGCCAGGAATTGGGCAGAAAGCAACAGGATCCTGGTTTATTCTTCCTCGGGCACGGGAAAGGGCGTGTGTGAACCCCAAGGTTGGATCCTAGACTCTTCTGCTCTGATTACATAGCATCTCATCTTCATTTAGTGCAAAGATGGAGAACTTGGGACCAAATTTCACAACTCCCGCCATCCTTCTCATTTGGCTAAGGTGGATAAAATTGTGGTCTAGTAAAATCTGGAAGGCTACACATCCCCCCGCCCTGATTTCATCCAAACTGTGAAACTTTCCTGTGTCAATCCAGTTTAAGAACTGTGAGGGCTAATGGCTGAAAGAAAGTCCATTTTAAACTCGTCAACCACTCCAGAAGTCCCCCGCCCTGATTTCATCCAAACTGTGAACCTTTCCCGTGTCAGTCCAGTTTAAAAACTGTGAGGGCTAATGGCTGAAAGGTCCATTTTAAACTAGTCAACCACTCCAGAAGTGCATTGTTCTGGGACATGATATGAAACACACAGCTTAGAAGGAATACTTAGAAAGAAATCTTCCATCAGCATGGCCAATGGGATCCTACTCTTTTGGGTCAAAATGAGAAGTCAGGAAGTCTGCTGGACGGGAAAGCTCCAAATCAAGGGGAAAGCTCCAAATCAAGAATCTATGCAGTTCTGGAGAAGAGGACAATAGAAGAAGAAGAAGAAGAAGAAGAAGAAGAAGAAGAAGAAGAAGAAGAAGAAGAAGAAGGAGGAGGAGGTGGCAAGAGGTCCAGTACATGGTGGTGGGGAACACAGTTATTGTATTTGAGTTTATATGTTTTATGTATATGACTTTGCCTTTATTATAGTTTAAATTTTTTAAAAAAAGTTTGTCCCTTACATGCGAAGCCAAAGGGTGAATAAAGTTAACAGATCTTCAGTCACAATCATCAACAGTATGGATTCCATGGAAGACATTTCAAAATTTAGCCTTCAGCAGTCTTTATTTCATTCCATAGTTCTCATTCATAAAAAGCCTTAAAATATGCCAAGCTTTGGATGCAGATGAAAGGCAAGACCACCCTTGCTTGTATGGCTTGAAGGTTAAAAGACAAAATGCCACAGGAAAAAGGAAGAAGAGAAGAGAAATAGCCGGCAAACTCAAAGACTGTTTTCAAAGTTACGCTGTACTTACGATGGCCCACAGGAACTGAAACAGTTTGGGGTTGGAAGGAGCCAGAACAGAGCTAGCGCGTCACTGGTAAGTCCCTCTTTGCCACAGCTAACGCTGGATGCCAGCTGCGGCTCAATGGAATGGCTACCAGCCGATGTCAGGCAGAACAGCCTGATGGACTTGGCAGATCAATCCCCTCCCTAAAATGAAGGAGTTTGGGCTTACCTGTTCCCCCCTCCCCAGCGTTTTTATTTATAGTATTGCAAAAATAAGAGCTAGTAAGGTTGCTACGTTTTTTACAATTTCAGTGGCCAAGACACTGTGTAGTTGCTGGACGAAACAGAGAAAAAAATGTATATATTCAGGATTTCTCAAATCACAAATACTTCATCCTTGGCTCTTTTCATCATTTTGGGGAAGGCCAACAGAAGATGAGCGAAGGAGGGAGAAAAACAGAGTTATGCTCTTCAGAAAATCAAAGGATATGTTTAAGTCTGCAACTGATGGGTTCAGTGCAGGTGAACAGCGCATAATCTTTATGGAATTCTGCCACAGTTGCATCATCGTAATCCGATTGGCTGCTTTGATAGTAGTGACCTATAATGTGGACTGATCCAGCTGCATGCTTGGTTTCACTCCTTTGTGGTAAGCTAGAACGTTGCTTTGCATTTAACTCAAGTTACAACTGAACGATCAATGCAAATTATTCATGGACAGCCTAGGGCCATAAGCTGCCCTCCACCCCATCCTATGTTGGGCAGATGGTACAGTACTGTGCAGCAAGACTGCACCAGAGATCTTCTGCATTTGAAATGAATTTCATCTCAAAAAAATGGCTAGGCTTTTCTTCTGCTTCTTAAAAAAGGTCCTTTCTTGTTGAATTACGCATGTATCACAGAACATGATGGTATGTGAGATGTGTCAAAGCTCCAAAATACCCCAATCGGAGTAATCGTCTTATTTCAAGTGTATGCAACTTGGTACACTCTGATTTTAATTCCCACAATTCTGGCTGGCTGAGGCTGATGGGACCTATAGTCCAAACATTCTAGAGGGCACCAGGTTGCCTCCCCCTTCCCTACTTCAAATACAACATGTAGCAATACAGTGGTGCCTTGCTTAGCGATTGCTTCGTTTAACAAAGAATTCGCTTAGCGATGGGTTTTTTTGAGGAATTTTCTGCATCGTTTAACGATGTTCTCTATGGGCGATTTTCACTTAGCGATTTTGGGACCATGCTTTGCATAGCGATTGCATTTTGGGTCCCCTGTTTCGCTTAACGATGTCCGTTTTTGCTATTTTAAAAGTGTCTTAAAATGTTCAAAAACTGTTTTAGATGCTTCGAATCGTTAGTGCACCTTGTAAAACCTTTGCAAACTTAATTTGGCTTTGTTCTGATTCTTCGTTAATTTTTGGTGAATTTTCCCCCCATTGTAATGCATTGAATAGGTTTGACAGCTGTAGGTTCCATTGGAACGGATTATCCGGTTTTCAATGCATTCCTATGGGAAATGGTGTTTCGCTTAGCAATGTTTTCTCATAGCGATGTTTTTTTTTTAACCAATTAACATTGTTAAGCGAGGCACCACTGTATGTCCCATTTATATGAACACATATCTATATGCTACATTTGTATTCTGCTTTTCATCCAAGGACTGAAAGCTGCGTATGTGGTCCTCCTCTCCATTTTTAACCATAAAGCAACCCTGCAAAGTAGGTTAAACTGAAAGAAAAGGCTTGGCCTAAGATTACAAAGCAAACTGCAGGATCAAGCAGGGATTTGAGCCAATATCTGTGCAGCCCTGATCCAATAATTTAATCACACTGTCTGTAATTTCAATCTTCTGAAAGTTCCCTGTGGTCTTTAATCTGCTACCGTATACTTTGCTAATATTTGTCAGACTTTTTCTCATTTGGGGACGGGTGGTTTTTTTAATCAAAAGTTTTGTTCACCTGGTTCTGTAGGAGCACCAATTCCCTTCAAACAAGGTCAGTCTTTAATTATAAATCTGAAACAGCGGCTCTTCATTCCCATGCAAATTCACCTGTACTTGGTGAGGTGAACAATAAATCCTCCTGAAATTCAAGCTACAGTGGACATCAGTGAAACTCCCCACTCCCCTAAAATGTCACCAGGCAAAAGGGGATGAAAGAAAACTCAACATTTACATAGAAGTTCACATGCTAATTTATAGGGAAAGATGTAAATTTGGAAATAAGTATGGTTTACTGTAAAATTAAATCAAAATGCAGGGGGTATCCCATGACATCTGTTGCTCAATCCGTTCTTAATGATGCATCTGCTGCTCAATTAGTTGTCCAGGTGGTGTTTACCTGTAAAAATGGACCATCAAGTTCCCTCTTTGTTTTTTTTAATCTTGTGTTCTGCTTCCCAGACCATACAGTTCCCTTTCAAAGAGAGGATACCTTTAAACAGAGGAATGTTCTCAGCAAAGAACATGACCACCCTCATTCATATGTGCACTACTTACCTATGTAGCCAAATAGCACTACTCAAACATAAATATAGCAGGCAGGAGGGTTACACAACAGGAGCCTCCAAAAGCATGGAATTACAGTGGTGCCCCGCATAACAATGATAATCCATTCCGGATAAATCGTCGCTATCCAGAATCGTTGCTCTCCGAAACAAAAAAACCCCATAGGAACGCACTGAAACCCCTTCAATGTGTTCCTATGGGGAAAAAACTCACCGCTATGCGGAAATCCTCCATACGGCTGCCATTTTCGCCGCCCGGTGAGGAAACCTTGCGAAAATGCTGCAGGCGGCCATTTTGTTTACCTCGCAGACATTTTGGAGCCGCCGATCAGCTGTTTTCTAAACATCGCAATGTGAAAATCAGTAAGCGAAACGCTTACCAATCATCGCAATGCAATGTTTTACCATTCAAAACATCGCAATGCGATCGCTTTTTCGATCGCAAAATCCACATCATTATGCGGATTTGCCGTTAAACGGGGCGCTCGTTAAGTGAGGCACCACTGTATAGAATAATGAAGTTGGAACGGGCCTGTAGATCCTCATGGACTTCCTGCACATAGAGCTGTAAGTATCATTTTTGGCATCCGGGCCTTTACCTTCCCATTAGTTACCCTATTTTTCCATGTATAAGACTATACTTCTGTCTAAAACCTTTAGACTAAAAATCGAGGTTCATCTTATACACAGAAGTAAGCTGAGAGAGAAAAACAAGTGGAGGGGAAAGCAGGGATCAAAGTGATCCTGCAGGGCTTTGATCCCTGTTTTCCCCTTCACTTGCTAAGCCCCATTTAGATTTCTTAATTTGGGGTTAAAATTGGGGGCATCTTATACATGGGGGTGTCTTATACATGGAAAAAAATACAGTAAGCCTGGGGCATGGCAGTTTGGCATACACAGGCAAGGAAAATAGGAGATTTCTCAAGAAAACTCTATGAAAAAGACTTACCTGCGTTATGTTCATCCATTGAAAAGGCTTTGTTTTCCATGTAGCTCCGTGGAAGCTGTAAGTCGTCCTCAAAAGCTGTCTCGCGCATGCGTGGTTGGGATGTATCGAAATAATTTGGTGTGTTCTCTTGCTGAGAGGGCAAGATGGAGCAGTGAACCTCCGGGATAGCGTGGAAGATCACGAACACCCAACCACTGGATATCAGTGCGATGGCAAGGGTCGGGTCTCGCCACTGGTCTCGCCTCCCAAGTTCTTTGTTGCCGTACAGGTACATAGCCAGCCAGGCAACCCAGAGGAGGATGGAAAAGAAGCTGGTGATCATGAGGCACACTCCGTTCTTCTTCCACTTCTTGAACTTTCCACACACTGTGAAAAAAGAAAAGCCCTGAGCCACCACCAGGAGAAACATGACGTAGGTGGACGCCATGGCAAAATCCATCGGCTCGTAATGGCAAGCCAGCTTCCCGTCTCTCACCACGGTCAGGATCAGCCATTCTGTTGCAATAATGACTTGGACCAAGGCTAGGCAGATGGCGACGCCGGCGAGCTGCCACCCGGACGGGCTCTTGCCATGGCGAACGAGTCTCCGGAGTCGCCAAGCTTGAGCGAGTAAGCACGAGAAGCACAGCGCAAAGAGGACTCCCCAGAGGAACCGTCGGATGGAGCAGATGGTCTCGTCTTCCTCGATGATGAAGGCAAACGCCAACCCGAAGAGCCCCAAGGTCCCGAAAAGGAAGAGGAAATGCAGCCCTAGGGGACTCTTCTTCTCTTTCTCCTTGATGAACGGCACCCTCGCCAGCAAAATCAGCATCAGCAGCAGCGTCGTCAGGGCTCCTGCGCCGGCCACTGCCTCCACAACAATCCCCCAGATCGCATCCAGATCACAGAGGTACACATACTGAGGAAGGATGTCGAGTCCACACCCTCTCGAGGTACTGGAGTTCTCGGAGGAACCATAGCCAACCACAAAGAGGAGCAGAATAGCCAGGGTGGGCAAGGCAATCATTTTTTCTGTCTGAAACAAGATCAGGAGAGAAAATGTAAGAGGATGCTCTTCCCCGAAGCCCACCCTCTACCTTACTGGATTTCTCAAGCAGAACTTGGACACACGCCTGCTTTTCAGACTACAGCTACCAGTATCCACAGCCAGCACGACCCTTTGCAAGATCTACTTTTTTGTTTTTTGTTTTTAACACTGTCAACTGGAACAAGGCACAAAATAGTGGCTGGAATCCGGTAGTAAGACGCAACTAGAGTAGACTACGATTATGCCAAAACCATTGCAATCCAATTTTCTCTAAATCATCAAGCATTTTTGTAAATCATTTGTCTCAATGCTTTCAAGTCCTCTACTATTCCTGTTTCATTATGCTGGAACAGATTAAGAGAGAGACAGCTTATAAAAGCACCATCCACAACTCAGTGTCTGGCCCCTGGGGCAACCGTCCTTCATTAACAGCCTTCTTCCAAAATCTTGATGTGACCGAGACTCCCTCTTCCCCCCAATCTCCATTCTACCCTCTTCTGCCACACAGCTTCCCCATGGACCAAATTTCAAACGTTCCCTGCAAGGAAGGGGTCCAGGATTTGGCCTTTTCATAGCAGCCCACTGGACAGGGCAGCATAGAATGGTGATCCTTCCCCACTTCAGCTCTGCCCACTCCCAGTTTATGGGCCAAACAGGATTACACCCAAGCAAACAGTGCCCTCAACAGAATTACAAAATACCTTCCTTCAGTGAGCTTCTGGACTTCACGTGCTTGCCTTAACCAGGAGCCAAGGGCAATGTTTTAATGGGGAGACATGGGTAAACTAGCATATGGGCTAACAAGCCACCACAGCATCCCCTAATACAGATTGTAGAAAGTTACAATAGAAAAGAAATTAGTTATAAGTATAGCCCCTAGCCCCAAGCAGTTAATTACCTATTATAGTTGCATTTTTTTAAAGCAGCTCTTTACTTCCTTATTTTCCATGAGACAGGTAGCATAGCCAATGATGAGGGCTGATGGGATTTGCAACCCAACATCTGGAAAAGCCACACTCTCCAGTACAGTGCTGCCTCGCTTAACAGGCGCCCCGCTTAACAACAAATCCGCATAGCAATTAAGTTTTTGCGATCGCATTGCGATGTTTTTAATGGGAAAATATCGCTTTGCGATGATCGGTAAGCTGTTTCACTTACCCATTTTCACATAGCGATGATTTTGCAACAGCTGATCGGCGGTTCCAAAATGGCCGCCGGGT